GTGTGAGTTTCAAAGATTCTTAAGAAAAATGTGCGCATAAGTATTGGTTTTATCACTTACATGGATTTTGGCTCAGTGGTTTAGAGTGGTGGCTCCAATCTGTTGAGTGAGGGTTTAGGTCCCACTACGGTAGTGGTTAAGAATCGGTTACTTGGTGTTTGGGGTTCACGAAGCTCCCCACCAGAAGTCACGTCCCCCGGCCGTTTTTTTATCGCTTGTTCATTGATCCAAGGTGATGTAACCATAAATGTTTACAAGACGTGGACACAAGGCGAGTCTCATATGCTACCCCCTCACAGAAAAGAAGTTTTTCACTAGATCAAAATTAATGACCTAAAGCTATCAATATACACGAAAGCCGTTAGCTACAGACTCTGACGCCGCCTTGCAAAGCATATTATTCTTAAACCAGGTTCCAGAACCAAATAGTGTCAGGATCTGCTACATGAATCTAAACGCTCGGAAGATCCTTTTTATCGACGATATGAGCAAATGGAAACGGACCAAGAAATTGATATTGGTTCTGCTTGCGCGTCGACTTCTCCACTTCACTGTAATCCAGATCAGGATAGAACATTTTGTTCGCCGCATACGATTGTGCATGCCACTTAATTTCAAAATTGTTCACGTAAAAGTTACCAAATTGAGCCTTGTATTGTTGTTGCACTTCGTACGGATAGAAGTAGAAGCCACACACGTCCGGATCATTCTCACGTACTTCTTCCGGCACGGGAGATAGCACGTACGCAATTTTCTGTGTCAACATTGGTGGCAGACATAACTCTGTCGAGTTTTTCGTCATCGTATCATACTCAAACAAACACATGCGTAGCATGTGATCACCCCACTGTGTCGTGTTGCGTACGAAGTACGTAAAGTTTTCATTTGTTACGCAAAAGTTGGGGTCTGTGCAGCGCAGGTGCAGCGGCTGCAGACTCACTTTTGCATACATGTTTGTTTCCTCTGACAGACAAGACCCCACACCACCGTCAATAGTCTTCGAGCGCTTCATTCGTAATGGAATGTTCATTCCAGGGTCGCCTTGGTGCTTTGCATCAATTACTTCGGCGGTGTTGCCACACTGGTACCAGTTTTCGGGATTGTAGCTGTTAGGACACATGCTTGCTTCCTCCCAATCTGTAATTTCTTGCATCCAGTATTTAATACTATGACTGCCACGAGCGTGCATGGGCCCAAGCGCAGGATGGATACCGTCAAACCATGAGTTCTTAAGTATGAATCCTCCAGTATATCCTTGCTTCGTACGAAAGAGATCATTATAGCCTACTAAAGTCATAACGTGACCACCTTCAGGATTCATGACGTAACTTGTTATAAACTCCCCTTCCATATTGTAACTTTCACCCTTTTCGATCGGAATGCAACACGTCGTTATCGCCACATTTGGAGGGCAAAGTGTACACGAATCTGATGCAGGATTGCATCGATCTTGCTCTAAAAGTTTACCAATGCATGGATAATAGTGTGTCGTATATGGTGTTGCAGTTGTCAGCGACATGGCTTGACGGTACTTTATCATCGCGCGCTTAATTGCCGTTTCATCCATAAATGTATCCATTCTCTTCAATGTCAAACTTAACGGGTTTCGCTCACGCTTTTCAGCAGTTAAACCAGCACATACAGTGTCATTGCCATCATCAGGAAAATAGGGACAGATGGAAGAAGGATATATGTTATGCTTTAAGCCATTCACGAGGTACATAAGGAGCGTCACATCACCTCCCTCTGTTGTGTTTTTCCAAATACCGTTACCTGGAATCAAACACGCCACTTGTTGTGGAGATCCAGGTGGTCCAGCACAAAGTCGCAGAACTTCAGCGCCATACGCTTGTTCCGAGATTGCCATATATTCATCTTCTTGTAGCCATCCGTTCGCGATTCCTTGCTGTCGGTAGCTGTTCTCCAGCACACCTACAGTAGCAAAGTCCCAACATGTGCCACGTTCATCTTGTGTCTTTAAAGGAGTCACATAATCGACTGCAAACTTGGTCGGAAAGTGTTTAAATTTTTGAAACTCCATATGACCGCTATCTGAGATCGTGTCGTCCTTTATCACGAGCAAAGAATGCATTGTATCCCTACGCGATTATCAAATACAAAAACGTTAGCTTTTCTTACCAATATATCGATTTTTTAGGCTTCGGTACTCACAATTGCTGCTGCATCTTGACAATCGCTTCTTGGTGGAATAGCAACGATCTATGCAGCGTGACCATGTAGCTTAAGCCAGCAATTCCCATAATTACAGCGATAATCATCAAAGCCCAAGAACGAAGTCGGCGATTGCTACCAACTGTACGACTGACAAAGGCATTTCCTTCACACGCAAAGTCAATGGCTTCTGTTCCGTAAGACTTCACCATGCGATCTTTAAATTTGATGTACACTTGGAATTAATAGCAGATATTAAAAAACAATATTAAGATTAAACTGTAATATCACTACAAGTACAGTCAGCTCATGACTAAGATAGATCAAAGCCTGCGTTCGATTTGATTGCATACAATAACTTTTCGCGCATGGCTTGTTTGTTTGAGTACGCTGGCAGCTTTAACAGATTCATACATGTGGCACTCGATGGCAGCCTCTCATCGTCTTCAACACGCACTTGATGGATACAAATTCGCGGTTCTAATTTGGAAAATCCCAACAATGGTTGACGAGAGCAGCTCGTGATAAATTTAAGTAGTGCTGTGCGATCTTCTCCATTAAAATCTTTTCGTACAATTTCCCAAAACCACTCAATTATTTGTTGAGATGGGTGGTAACCACCACCGTACACCGTATTACGCTCCCAATCGTCGATATCAATATTCGTGGCAGTGCCACCGATTAGCATCTGCAATTCGTCAGGTGCAAACATTTGGATCCAAGTGCTTGGGATCAAATCACGAAAGCCCTTTAAAAATGCAGCACTCTCTAGAGATGACTGCACATTAAGTTTGAAATTGGCCATCAAATGAATATACCGGATCCGATTCGCGTTCGTGACAGAAATATTGGCCCCATCGGGAATGAGGTTTCGTGTCAAAACCTCACCAAACACCGTCTCATTCACGCTGAAAGTGAGCGCAAGATCTTCCACGTTGCCATCGTAGTGTTTGAGACGCATTAGCGATGTATACAACTCCGGATCTAACGAGTGTAAGTCATCGATGTAATTAAACTTGCCGAGCAATTTGTTTAAGAAGAATGCTGCAAATTGTGGCTCAACAAGAATATTTTCATAGACAGCCTTTGCTAAAACGCGCCCAAGAAAGCGATAACGGTCAAGTGCCTCCTTCCGTGAATCCACCACGTAACGTGCACCGGGATTTGGATACAGAAGGTGTTCCTCTGTTTCCAAAAAAAATCCATACTCAGGCGAAAACGCGCTCTTCGTGAGACAGTCCATATATTCTTTAAAGACTCCACCGCCGTCGATTCCCGCTTCTTCTAAGCCTTGTTCATTGATAAATGTTACTTTAACACGCATTTTCAATGCTGCAGGAGACATCGAGTCACACACTTTCTGAAAAAAGTCAAAACTGTCGTAAACAATCTCGTCACGCTTCACCCACACCTGCAAGACTTGCGAGAAGTCGTCGCGAATGTTGCCTAGTTTTGCCTTCCCGTCTTCCAGTAGTTTCTGAAACAGCTGGACACGCTCTTTGAAAGATAAGACTTGAGGGATTGTAACGAGAATAAGAGCTGCGCGGGCATGAGGAGACGACGCCATTTTATTCATTAGCATGAATATCGCGTGTGCATCGCGATTACCATCTTCCTTCATCAATTCTAGATCGACAATTTCCTTGATAACAGGCATTGAAGGCCACAACCACGCACTATCGGGCATAAAGCGACGTCGGCAGTCACGGTCGTACAGCTGATTGAAAAGCTTTATTGATGATACAACGGCCGTAAAAAGTATCAGCTCTTTTTCATTTAAGCTGTTAGCTGGAAGAGTATTGGTAGTGTTGGTCATCCAGCAAGTATCGTAAACAAATTTTTTCAGAAAAGGTACGACAATTTGGACTTCTGTCAAACCAAGCGGCCAAATGCCGTCGTAAAATGCTTCATCATCTAGACCCAAAAGCATGTGACTATAGACGACATTAAAGACTATCAGCACTTGTAGCTGTGGTGTCGTCAACACTAGCTGCTCATTGATAAGCATTCCAGTGGAATATTGCGGTACGATGTTGCCGATCCTAGGTTTCATCCACTGCCACACACCATATACCAAACTATTATTATTCGTGGTTTTGACAGGGGTGCCAGTATGTAATTCGACGGTCATCGCGCTTAAGAGCGCAAACAAAGCGACAGGTGGATTTGCAAATTTAGCTGCCACGCTCAATACATAAGATCTTCCAGTCGACAGCAACAAGGTGCACAGGAACTGACAAAATCGTGATACGGCATTTTCATCGACATTCATTTGTACATCACTACCATGCAATAATGTGTCAAGGCATCGTGCGCTGAAGTTAGAGTGGCAAATCAGCTGCCACTGAAGACGAACGCGCGCCTCAGCTTCACCTAACGCGACAGCACCACGCTGTACTTCTTCATCCGATGTCAGAATTCCACTGGTTAAATACGTCGGTGGGATGATCGGAAGTTCTGCTTCATCCGAAACAAAATCTTCATCAATTGCCATCGAATCTTGCTCCGACTGTTTAAGACCAAACGCCCAATGGACTAACGAGAAAGTCACTAATTCTGACAAAATTATCGCGACAACTTCGACAAGTGCTCGATCAATCGAGCACATGGATGTTAGCTCGACAACGTTTCCGACTACAATTGCGCGTTGCTGCCATGGCATCGCTGTCATGTCATGGTTTCCACAAAAATGTTGTAATATAGACGCCCAAAATAACCCTACTGTCTTTGTTTTGTCAGCTGATGTAGTAGTCACATAGCTCAGTATTGGAGAGGTTGCTGCAGAAGGCGAAAGTAGCATTCTGTTTGCAAATGTTTGATACACCTTGGACCGTCGCATCTGCTGATCTTGATTCGATAATTGTAGCGCTTGAGCGGCAATTTTTGCAATAATTTGAGTCAATTGATCACTTTCTAAACGAGATACACCTTCTCTCTCCTGTTCGGCAATGCACGCTCTCAAGGCATCAAATATCCCGTATCTTGGGGTAATACTTATATGATGCAATACATTCGAGAGTGCTTTCTGTCCTTCAAATGTCGAATAATTGGAAAAATTTGTCAATGTTTCTATGAGTAACACGTACGGATGTGAAGCAATCGCTGGATTCGCTACCGAAGTTTTAAGTTCCTCTTGTACTAATGTCTGTAAAGAAATCTCACACATTCTTGCGGCTTGATACACCCAGCACGCATCCTTCTCCACTTCAAAAAATGATGTTCCCCGTTCGCCCTTCAAACAATTAACAAGTAACATAAACACCAAATAGTCCTGTACTTTGCGTAATCTGTCAACGGCCACATGATTTTTTGATATCGCTGGCCTTGCAAAGAGAAATTGCTTGAGGAAATGCTGCAGCTGCACCGTAGGCAAAGCCTGATTCTGGATATCACCAGTCAAAACAGTGTGGGTGAGCTCTTGCTCCAACAAGCTAAATACTTCAGACCTCGCTTGGGTTGCGGCTTTCAGACGGCGGTACTGGGCCTGAATTCGAATGCCAGCGGCCACACGCGCTTTTGTAGCGTGGCGCTCTTCCCTAGCCAAGCGGTTTTGCAACATAAGCTCTTCCTTGGAACCAGCAAGCACATCTCCATTTTTTGAACTTGAAAGTGAGGCAATGTGCGCACTATAACCCGTCGTGGGCTTCTTGCGGCCGCTAAGGTTGACCTTGCGCGCGGGCTTAAAGCTACCGTCAAACATGGGCGATTACTATGTCAATGCGATAGTATTGAAGAAGATTCAGCACGAAGAGTGCGGAACCGTTAAATGGCTAAAATTAAGCGATGCGGTGACGATTCTGCTCGATCCTTCGCGTAAAGTTAGAGTGAAGAGAGCGCTACGTGATTAATTCTATCTAATCATTTCTACCAATCCTTGCGCGGTATTATGTAAAATGATGACAACTAAAAGGCAACTATTTCTGCATTGATTAACGGACTTGCGAAGGAATTTGTACCTGGTATTAAATAGTTTTTATAAACTATGGCAATGGATAAGGATGGCCTTTAAACCGAAGAAAACTAATTTATGTACTGAAGGTCAAATTGCTAAATGTAACCACACAATGCCAACAAGGATCGATGATGCAAATTGAGAGCAGCGTAATCTCAGAATTAGCTTAGTATTTACCGCAGAGACTACGAAGCTCATTATTATGGCTACTGTAACTACGCAGAAGATCTATTTAAACGAATACAGCCCTGTATTTGTGTCTGCACTCGCAATGCACAAGAAAATATTCATGATTTCAAGCGCACACCATGACGATGTGCATCAACTCCATGCCTGACTTAAGTGGATATTAAATGCATATAGTTGAGATTGTGACATATCAGTTCGCTGTTTTGCTGTCGGTACACTCGGATGTTTTTGATCTGGCAAGGTATAATGGAATTACGAGTCGCTAACGTGTATCGTCAGCATACACTTCCTTTCCTTAAAGTAGTTAACTACATCAATACAAGACGTCAACGAGCAAAAGATATTCGTGTATATGTGAATGTTGTAGCCTAAATGTTAAGATATAAATTTAACTGGCGTCTTGCGCAATGCTGTCTTCGAGACTGATGTCAACACACTTGTTAAATGAGCAATAGTAGCCATCTTCGCAGCCATCTACATAAAAGCCAGTAGCAAGATTAAAGCACTCCCTCTTGTTTTTTGGATTACGACATTTGTTGCTGTTATTTTCACAAAAGCTACCAGCAGCGCAAATGAGTCGACACGTTCGTCCGTCGACTGGCGCTGCAGAGACGCGACATAAATCATCCAAACACTCATATCCGTCATCACATCCGTCTTGAAAGCGAGCAATTGTGGCATTGTAACAATCTGTGTCGTTTCTTGCACTTCGACATTCACCAATAATTCCGTCGCAGTACTCTCTGCGGCCTCCACAGCCTTCTGTCAAGCAAACAGGTCTAGAGTCTCTTGTCGCTGCGACTAGACTCAATCTCGAGACTTGAACGATCAACGTCATCGCGAAGGCTTTCAATTTCATGGCTTCAGCGTCAAGATACCAAATGACAGCGCTATTATAAAATCAAAGGTAAATCATTTTCACAGCTGCTTGGCTACCTTCTCTTGATATTCAACATGGTATCCACCGGAAATGATTGGGTCACTAAATTAACAAGATATCAGTAGCGTTTTTGCCCACAAAATTACGTGTACTACACAAAGATGAGGGTTGCTAACTTTCCGGATCCTAGAGATAGCTTTCCAAAAAAGTTTGAATAATTTATTCATCATTTAGGATAGGACGATAGCGGTCAAGACACGCGACAAACCGGTAAAGAAGTCCAGGCAACACTAAAGACCACTTTGACGTTGCTCGTAGTAATAAGAGTAATCTTTCACAGCTTAGGTGACGGTGACAATAGTGGAAAGAGATCGAGATTTCAATAAACATCAATTCAAAGGCGCGTTTGTTGAGTGCTATACGAGTACATGATACACTAAAGCTGGAGAAGGAGCTGGTAAAGTAAACATTTGACCGGATAATTTAAAAATAGCACTTTTAACAACAATTAAGTACTTGTCGAAGCTGTTCCTGGTGATCCTAGCTTTCGTCATGGTTGGTGTGAATGATGCACTTAGGTGTAGTCCCGCTAAAAGGCCATGCTCGCAATCGTCGCATAATTTAGCGCGCATCAGGAAGAAGTACAATATGAGTTCTTAAAAGATCTGAATTAGAGCTTTACTGCGTCAGTCTCTTAATCTGACGGTCACCAGCTCGATCCTTAGGTAATGTGGCAGGCGCACCATGAGCTCTTCATATCGGTCAAAATAAACTTGTAGTCATCTTAGCGATGACATCATATGCCTAAATAAAAATAAGCGCACTGAGTCAATTGAGTATTGGGCCAAACGCAAGACTACTTTTTACTTGAGCGGCTTGCGCAGGAGATGATTTGAAGCGCTATCACTTCGTTTTTTTAATACTGGGAGGGGCTTCCGATTGAAGAGGAGCTCGATCCATCGTGATAAGAGAGACTAGATTGGTTTTCAATGGTTTGAGGAAGCGCGTCTCTTTCAGTGTCATCTCTTCTGCTGGGTGTCATCTACGGTTTACTTTTGTGCTAAAGCAAAAATAATACCTGGTCGCTGCATCTACACTCTTCAGCATTGCGGTGTAGGCTTGAACGATGTCACGGTCAGACACGATCTCGACAGGATTACCATGCAATGTGTGCTATCAGAGCTCATAGCAAATTTAGGAAATGATCGGACTGCATAGTGATGACAAACTTCCAGTATCTGAGTGCGAGGATATAACGTTTTGACACTGAAAGACTTATCTCAAAACAAAATTCAAAAATATTTTTTCTATCAACCAAATTTACTGTAAAATGAGTCAGAAATATTTGTCGATGCTAACCGAATTATGATCTACACTGTGTGGCTTCAAACGTTGGCTGTAAAATGAGCTTCAGCTTCCAAAACCATCGAGTGAGTTTTTTGATTGCGCTTCAAATGCCGCCAATTATGACAGAGGCTGAGAATTTTGCGTTATCATCGACACGTGGTATTAGATAGACTAGAGACCCTTCTACAAAAAATCATCAAAAACCTGCAAACAACATTATTCAGCGTAACTTACTATAATCTCTTTCTGTACCCTGTCGTGTGAGAATGGATGATTGAATACCGTGAGCAGATCAACTTTGATAGAATTGGTATCAGGGCACTGTTTTTGAAATGAAGTCCCCACAAATGTTTTCCATCACATTATACAGGATAACCAGACACTTTCAAGTGCGCAACTAGTGCCTTTCCAACAATTTTATTGCTTTTTCTGCTGTTGTCTTGAATTGATATTCAATCATTAGCTGGTTTCGACCTAGATTGAAGGTGCAAGATTATTGTCAACACTATCGTCCGAATAATCAGCTTAAAACAAGTTTTGCCATCATCTCAGAGCCATAAGCTATTTCAACGATTCAATTATATACTTCGTAACGTCCTTGCACTTAGGGCAGCTCAACTGAACCTTTTTCCATCTGCATGCGACTATCATATAGGTTCTCAAGTATCGGTATTTAATTCCACTCATGGGACTGAACTGTTAGCCTCACATTCAGCAATGATGACCACGTCACTTTCAAAGAAGCAGATAATGCAGTTTATGAGAGATTTTTCCCAAAGAAGAGCGTACAAACCCAGCTGCCTGTCCGTTGTATAAGCAGATTTTTGCGTCAAATGTCATCTGTGCAAGGTAAGCACTTCCGACGGCCGAGTCATGAAAATTGGCATTATCTGATTAAACACAAGTTGTTCGAACATTTGTTTTAAGGACAACTAGACACGTTTGATAAGCTTGAATGTTTCATTAATCTCAATATGATAGATCGCTTACGGGATCAAGGGCCGAAAGCGGTGATAACGTTCACGAGCCTTTGTAGCGTGCTAGTGAGGCACCTCCAGGAACGCCGCGTCTAGCCATAGGTAAGAATACAAGGCTTTCTAACGGCTAAAATGCTGATATTGAGTGACAATACCTCCGATGGTAAGGACAGAATAAATGTCTACCTCTGCGTGAAGAACGGATATGACCATGAAAGCGCTTCCAGGACTCCGACCGGTCCTCACGGCACGGAAGTTTTGCTCCACATTTGGCGCCCATCTCAAAAGAAGTGACACCGACACGAAAACTCCCAAATTAAGTTGAACTCTTTAGCCACTCTCGATATGGATCGTAACCGTTACCAATCTGATAGAGAAATTGCCGGAGCTCTAGGATTTTCAACATCGCCGATTCATTCTTGCCTTCCTTTGCGAGAGAAACAGAGCTTTAAACGAACTCAATACATCCGACTAGCTGAAGCAAACAGACTATTTCAAAGTTAAATATACCTCTTCTCCCAAAGGTTTTACATGTAAGTGTCCGGTTTAGAGCGCACTCTTCTATTCTCGTCTCCTAGCTCAAAGACCACGGGCGCAATTCGATGATGTTGATCCATCTAGTGCGAGCGCATACAAAAATAGCTCGTTGAGCGGGCCTGAGTCAATAGATTTCAGCTATGCTGCGAAGGGGGAGGGAGAGCTCCGAGTTGCCGGGCGGCGTTCAAAAATCCGACGGCGTTTTGTTTGTGTAGACACCCGTCAACTTCGGTCTGTTTTGCCACTGCGCAAGGCGCGTCAAGATTCATTAAACCGACGTCCCGCTTCTCATCAGTCTGGTTTGTCGCGGGAAAACGACGACTACCAAGTAGGCGTGGGGCGCCCTTCTGGGGATGATTTGAGTTTTGCTGAGCCTTAAAAAGGTAAAGGGCAGTAGAGACAGCTCCGAAGAGCTCCTTGCTTTCTAACGAACGTGTATGCAAGTCGGACTTACTGGTCGTGGATGCGATCGTGTGAGAAATTGAGAGGCCATGAAAAATCCTTATTGACTCCGGGGCATCGGGCAGTTATGCTCGACGCTCGACTATAGAAGGAAGTCAGCTATATGCTGAGGCGCTGAAAGCTTGATTGAGTGACACCATGACTGTTCGCATAGCGACTGGGACTTGTGTCACGATGCCGAAGGTCCCTGTGGATCTCGATGTCAAGTTTCTTGTCTTTGATAGCGTGGAACGCTGTTTAGTCTTAGACTTGGATTCGAGGTATGAAAGATTGAAGCATCCGAGTTGTCGAGCACCAAAAGTGCATTAGACCGGAGTCCCGAGCGTGGCTCGCGGGCTAAACGTGGTGTGGCACAAGCGCTGCTCAAATTTCGGAGTAATCACTGTATGTCATGCGTGGTATGTCGGCCAAGGGCCGAGGCATCGAGGGCGAGGCCCCAATGATGCACGTAGAGTGGCACGTAACCCACTAAGCATTGCATAGATTAGCATGGTCGGCCAAGGGTCGATGCATCGAGGGCGAAGGCCCAGTGATGCACGTGGAGTGGCGCTTAATTCAATGGGCACTGTTCACGTTTCAAAGCAGTTGCTGCATGCCAAGAGTAGCATGGTCGGCTGAGGTCCGAGGCATCTTAAGCAAGGCCCTTCAGATGCGCGTGAAATGGCACGTTTTCTACTGGACAAAGACTGCGGAACTAACAGCTCTTCGTCGGATGTTGGTAATAACATCAAGGCTCAGGTGGAGCAGAAGGTAAGGACACTGGACGACGCGAAGTGCGTGTTCCTACTGGTCTCGTCGAGACATAAAACGTCTGGTCGTATATTATTTGCAAGACGCAGGGCAACGGCCCTGACTCAGGGTGTGTTTACTGTAGACGATAGCGCGCAGCTATACACCCTCGTCAACGGTTGAAGTGGGGAAAAGGCGGAGACGCTACCCTAAAGGCCGGATGCTCTTCTTGAGCTAGATGGAATGCCCCTCGGAGAGTTCGGCGGTGCATATAAGGCAGGCGAATTATCCGAGGTGGTCATTATACGACCGAAATAGGGATTAACTCGTCAGCGCTACTGGATGAAGCTAGTCTGGAGGACATCAAGAGGGTGCTGAACGCACGAAAAGGATCGTCGATCCCTCGGGTCCATATATTCCTTTGGTGAAGAAATTTCAAGGCGCCGTCTCCAAAGACCCGCTGTCGGTCCTACCTCCGGACCGAGGTGTGCGTAATGAGATCGACCAAGTCCCGGGAACCAAATACTGCGTAATACTCCAACGGCCCCTGGCTAAGGAGCAGTTTAACGCCACTGAAGCCTTCTTCCGTGTTAAACACAAAGCCGGGATGGTAAGTAAGGGTTAGTCTCCCCGTTCGGCACCAACGTTTTGTGTCCGAAAGCCGATCGGCAAGCGGCGTATCTTTCACGCTTATAATAAGCTAATCGCTGCCATCATTCCGGCACAAACGCCAATTTCTAGGAAGGATGTTCTTCAGAACCATATGGTTGGCTATACGAAGTACAGCGCACTCGACTTGGTCGATGGATATTACCAATTGCTAATGAGAGTGAGTGATATTCCGCTGACAGTGGTGAGTACTCCGAGCGGAATGCTCTGGCAGTGGCTGGTGATGTCCCAAGGCTGTCAAATACGTCAACAACATTTAATCGTCTTTTAACGCAGTTGTTCAGGCCCCACTGGGCGTATACACAAACATACTTCGACGACTTTCTCGTCCACAGTAGTGCGGGGACGATAAGACGGATGTAGAGAACACACCTAAGAGCGGTGCTCGAGTGCATGTGCTCGAATATGATGTATGCTTATGTAGACAAGTGCATCTTCGGCGCTAAAAAAGCTTCATTTAGGGTGCTTCATTGGGAAGCGTGGCTTTGGAGTGGATCCCGCTAAGGTCAAGCCATTATGGACTGGACAGTTCTAACGAACCAAAAGGACTTGTGCAAGTTACTTGGTCAGGCCAACTACTTGCACAAGTATAACGCGAATTATGCGGAAATGGAACGGCCATCGTCAATATTCCTTAAGAAGGATGCGAAATGGTGTTGAAACATCGAGCATCGACAGGCTTCTGACAAGGTCAAAGACAGCCTCCTTCATGCACTAATACGGTATTACCAGACCCGATTTTCCTTTGAATGTCGTCTGTGACGCTTCAGACTTTGCCATCGGCTATGCACTGCTGCAAGCAGACGTCGAGGGTCGAAATTGGGGAATCGCGTTCGAATCTCGCCAGTTCAAAGCTGCGGAGATGAACTACCCAGTACACGACAATAAACTACTTGCGATGAAGTATTCACTTGTCAAGTTCAGGGTGCACCTGCTTGGCTCAAAGCCGTTTGTGATCTACATAGATCATGCGTCACTACGCACTGCGACTCAGTGCCTCACTTCTCGCAAAGGATGGCCTGGTGGCTCTCATTCTTCGCAGAAAATATCTTCGAGGTGAAGTCTAAGCCAGGGAAGCAGAATGCTTTGGCTGATGATTTTTCACGCAGATTATGAGCTTGCTAATGTCGCAACAATGACGTCGTCAGTGATGGATTTGGTCCGCGCCGTATACGCGGGTAACAGTATGTGTGTAGCGCTACTACAGTCTCTCGGGGGTAAGGAGTTTGGAGACTCGGACTAGAAATTGTCGGCGCATTTGCGCGCACGTTTACACTGATATTCGTCAAGTAACGGGTCGCTGATACGCCACGAATTGTGGTCCCTAACGATGAGAATACCGTATCCTCTATGAGGCCCACGCCCCACTCCGCGGTCGCCTTGGTCGTGAGGAGACGTACAGCTCGGTGAG